TTGCCACTGCCGCATGGCTATCATTTGTCTTTTTTGGGACCACCACACCTCGCTGGCACAGCTTCTTGTGCTGGGAAGGAAGCCCTAATGGAGTAGAAGGATTGGGGAGAGTGAGGGATGAAGATGGGCAGCAAGAAGGCCCAATTGCCTGCATGCAGGTTATAAATATGGAATAATGGGTTGGGGTTTAAAAAGGGGAGTGAATAATTAGAGATCACTTTCGGAGTGAAAGGAATTAGGTTGTCACCATATATAAGAATTATTATATGTAAAATTTAAAGAGAGAAAGGGACATACAATTTCCATACATACCAGAGAGAGAGGGAGGGAGAGTCAAGTAGACCACGTGGAAGACCTCCAAAGATGATGAAGAAGGCTGCCCAATACTACATCGTTTCACACAGGGGCATAATTGTCATTTTAAATTCACAATTTCATTTTAATATAATATTAATATAATATCAAGGGCATTCTTGTCATTTCACAGTCACTTAACGGTTCTGTAACGGAAAGGGGGGCAATGTGATAGTTTATGTTAGTTTAGAGAGTTTTTTTAATAATTGAGGGTGTTATATGTAGTTGTTGTAAATAATAGGGCTTTTTATTTATTATTATTTTTTTAAATGTTTTTAGCCCTTATTAAAAAGAAAGAAACAATAAGAGTGACAAAATTTTGTATGAGCCTCCCTCGTTCCCGTGCATGAAAAAGCTATACAGTTTCAAGATACAACCCAACTTGTGAGTTGTTTTCTTGAAAAGTGTTTGAAGAAGACAATTGGGTTAGTCAAAATTCCCCTCAAAATATGTAAACTATATAAGATTGCTAGAGAACATTAAAAGAGAAAGCAGTGTGTTCATTTGATTTGTGAATCTGACCCATGTTGTTCATACTATCGGTCCGGTCGCAGTTTCATAAATAAGCGATGCATAGGAATCGGTTTGATTCATGAATTGGGGTATAAAAAAACTTATTTCATCTATGAATCTGATCCTATTTGTTACTCATATAATATATATGAATATATATAATACTATTTAACCCAAAACATAATAGGCTAACCCCCATCCCCTTATAATATATATTTCTATAATATACATAAATTATATTACTATATATTTATGTAATTCATGAATCAAAGTTCAGTATTGTTTTTGAGCTTATTTTCTATTTCTCCAATTATGGGAGGCCACTGAAATAATTTGGTGAGTATAAACCACATGATTTATAATTCTTCATCATGTAGTTACAACTTGCAGTCACTATATTGTCTTAATTATTTCATTTCAATCTTATATCTTGGGATAAATTGCGTTGTTTATAAAAGTCTAATTCGTAAAATCAATCCGATGTTTCACAGATTGGGCTGGCGTTATTTACAAAAACACAATTCAAAAATCAATGTGATGGTTTACTAATTGTGTTGATTCAAATTTAGACTCTCATCGGTGCAGTTAGAATTAGTTTTGGTTTTTATGAAAGCGTGGGACATGATTGGTTTTGATTTTAGGTCTAAGTGGAACCAATCCGATCCGTCTACACCACTAAAAAATAGGGATATTGTGAATTTGCGAGAGAGAATATACATATATATATATATATGTGTGTGTGTATGTGTGTGTGTGTGTGTGTGTGTGTGTGTGTGTATGTGTGTAAAGCCTATTTGATAGCCCACCTTATATATTACATTTGATTTTTTCAGCATGAATCTACCTTATGATTCATGTGTAGTAAAAAGAAGCATCTTTTAGCCTGGATGCAAATTTGGGCTTCAGGCATGACCCCTTGGCCCGCTGAAAAGTCAAAACCTAATAGGCTCGGGCCTAAGTTCCCTAAACTGCAGGCCTTGGATGGACCTAATGTATTATATTTTGCTTGCATAACAATATATATATATATATATATATATATATATATATATATATTTCATATCATAATAAAATACTATGTTGTACGCTAGGAAGTATGGATAATTTTACGAAGGAGCCGTACCCATGCCGGAGACACACACTCTGTGTCCGACACTTCATATACATGTCGATAAATAAAAATTATGTTTTCTTTTTCTTAATTGATACTCACACGCACATACATCCATCGAGACTCGAACCTTTGACCTTCCTTTGGAAAGTAAGAGCCTGGTACTGCTAGGCCATTGGCATATTGGTCAACATAATTATGTTTTCATCAACCAAACCTCCATGACACATATTAAAGATATACATGCTAATTTGTGTCTAATAACTAGAACATGGACAGAAGTCCATCTTGAATTGTGGTCAGAAGTTACGATCTTGAATTATGGTCACAACCGTCGGTAAAGGGAGTTGTTGGTACCATCACCATGACCGTCCCTTGCCATATATCAGCCTGTCATGTTAAAATTTGAATTTTGATACTCTCAACTGTAACTTTAAGTTCTAGTCTAACCAAAATCATGAATGTAACTTTAAGTTCTAGTCTAACCAAAATCATGAATGTCCTAAGGCAGAGAAGGTTTTTTTTTTTTTTTTTTTTTAGGACTTAAATTCAAGGAATTTTAAATTTGTATGCTCAATCTTCATTTAAACCTTTATGGAAATATTGCAGAACAGACTCCTAAAAGGTTGATCCTTATAATTAAGATGCATAGCAGCATTTCTGTTTTGCTAGTTTTTGCCTATTGGTAAGAAAATGAATGATACTTTGGGAATAAATAAATAAAAAAGAATGAAGTCTATAAACATCTCCAAGAATAAATCAACAATGATCACTTTTTAACTACAATTAAAACGACCCTAAAATGCTACCGGTCATAACAAAAAATATTCGGCATGACCTCTGCTAAAAAGGGTCCTACCACAACCTGTTGAAATGCATAAAAAAATATAATCACCTCAATTGGCCATAAACTAATCTATCATGTCCTAACGTAGAACGCAAATAATATAAAACATTCCCAAAACATCAATATACATATAAAAAGAGTCCCGTTCCTCCAATTCCATCAAAAAAAAAAAAAATAAAACATAGAAGCACCAGTCTACTACCTAGTCCCATACTTCTTTACAAGGGACATACTCTAATTACATCAATTTACAGTTCATGAAATATAGCTGAAATCAAAAGTCCATAATTTATAACATTATACAAATTATACTGAATTTTTATAGAATAGTCAAGATTTACATTTACAAAATATTAAAATTCTAAACAAAAATAGTAAAAATATAAATGTCCAATCCCGTCTAATCTTGTTGTGGATGGTCATCCACCACCTCCTTCATGTGTCCTGAAAAATATTAATAATAAAGGGGTGAGCACAATGACTCAATAGGACGTGCCTAAGACACACCTCTTGTGACTCTGTGAATCTAAACAAGGAATAAGAAAAAGAACCGAGATCATGCCATTTCCAAAAAAAAAATAGAACCACAACATCAACAACATAATCCAAGTTATAAACGAACTATGTCATGCAATGTCGCTCCATATTTCCAAAACATTTTTCCGTCATCATTTTCAAACCATTAGTATAACCCGTCCCATGGCATCATTTGGGCCCAGGTAACTCAACCACACTAGAAAAATCACCCCAGTTCTCTCTAGGCCATACTAACGGCGCGATCCCTAGGCAACTCCTAGGCGGCCGGGTTTTCGCAAATCCTTTCAAAACTTTTTTTCCAAAACCTTTTTCATTCCATTTCAAAATAACTTTCCCATTTTCCTTACCCAATGCCTATGCATGAAACGCATCATGCCTTTTCATACCATGCCAATACTCATTTTCATATAATTAATTCAACTGAAAGCACATAGCATGCTTTACAAGTAAATAAATATATATATAAAAAAAAAGAATACTTTCATTCAATAATAATCTAGCATGGTAAGCTTATAAAACATGAATTTTAGTCCACACAAGCATGCTCGATCATAACACATCATTCAACACCTAATTAAACATTCCATATACAACATTTAAGCAATTTTTGCAAGAATTTATACAAATTGAACATGCTAGGTAACAATTTATACAAGATAATTTACAAAAGCACAAGAAGATTATGGATTAGGGATCCCTACCTCACTTAGATGCAAAAACTCTCAATTTGCCCAAATCCAAGCCCTAGAATTCGAAACACCAAAATTACCTTTGCTTCGATCAAATCGAAGATCTCGACAAACTTTCCGTTTTGTCGCAAACAGCACCCAAAAATTCCAATTGGTGAGGGAGAAATCAATGATTGAATTTCTGCTTAAAAAGAAAAAAGAAAATGAACAAGAAAAGAGGGGGGGGGGGGGGGGGGGGGGAATGTGAGGCCAACATGGCCTTTTGGCCGCAATTCATATAAGTGGTGGATCCCACCATTTTTTTTTTTTTTAAACAAAAATTTTCTTTTTAACTTTATTTTTACACCACAATATTATATATATATATATACCTACACATAATAATTCTCAACCATATATAACACATTAAATAAAATAAATGTGATGCAAATGGACCCAAACAACACCCCGTACGCTACAAATCCAGTAGTGGGTCCCACACGAGACCGTCCAGCTCAAAAACGAAAAAATACCAAAATGGTCACCCTTGCATTTTAAAGAGTCTTGAACTCAAAGGAATGCTTCAACCAACTCTTTGACACACCCGACACACCTCACGGTGCCAGGCAAGCAAAACGTGAAAAGACGAAAATGCCCCCGTAAAATTCAAAAAATTCTAGAAAATGGTAAAAAAAAAAAAAAAAATTAGAAACATTCATGCCACATAGTTTTATTCTCAGAAACTTTCGTGCCAAAGTTTTTCAATAATTTAAGGGTCTGAATTTAAAAGTCTGCAAAAGTTGTAAGAATTCAATGTTGAATTATTATTTTATTTTTCCTTTCTGATTGGTAATTCAGTGATGATTTTCGTATAAAATAAAATGCTGATGAGTTGGAGAAATAAATTCTTGGTGTATATAAATATGAGTGAATGCATTAGAGTTATCCTACCTACCATAGTACATGCTTAATGACTCTTCTACAAAACCTTGTTCTCATGTTTTACTTTTTCCAACTAGAGTTTAGCACTGCCACAGACACAATTACACCAATTCAACGAATCAACGACCCTGAAAGTATAGTCTCCAATGGTGCAACTTTCAAACTGGGATTTTTTAGCCCCTTCAATGCTACAAAGCGTTATGTTGCTATCTGGTATAACAATGTCCCTGTTACAGCTGTGGTCCAGGTAGCAAATAGAGATAAACCCCTTAATGATTCTTCCGGGACTCTGACTATATCTGAAGATGGCAACCTTGTGGTCATGGATGGACAGAAACAGATTGTTTGGTCATCAAATGTTCCAAATTCTTCGGCGCATTCAAGTGCCCAGCTTTTAGATTCTGGGAAACTTGTGTTGCAAGATAACATTGGCGGAAGCATAACGTGGGAGAGTTTTGAACACCCTTCTGATTCAATGTTGCAGAAGATGAAAATTAGTACCAACAAATATACAGGTGAGAGGACTGTGCTCACCTCGTGGAAAAGCTCTTTGGATCCATCTACTGGAAGCTTCATTTATGGTTTGAATCCCTTGAATATTCCAGAACTGTATGTATAGAGTGGTAGTCATCCTTACTGGTGGAGTGGTCCATGGAATGGACAGAGCATTATTGGAGTACCCAATATGGTTGTGAACTACAACACTCTTGAGGTCGTGGATGATAAAGAAGGAACAGTTTATACAACTTATACTTCTAGAGATGAATCCGTGTGTTACTTTTTCTTGAATTCTGATGGAATTGTAGTGCAGAGATACAGGGATGTTGGAAAGGAGAATTGGGAAGATACGGTTCTGGCTCCACGAAATGAATGCGATGCATATGGCAAGTGCGGTCCATTTGGAAGCTGCAATGTGCAGGATTCACCAATTTGCACATGTTTACAAGGGTTTGAATCAAAGGATATGGAGGAATGGAATAGAGGAAATTGGACCAGTGGATGTGTGAGGAGGAGACAGTTGCAGTGCAAGAGAAACAACATTAATGGCGGGAAGGGAAAAGAAGACGGGTTCTTAAAGAAAAAGACAGTTAAAGTGCCGGCCTTTGCAAAGTTGTCACCTGCAATATTGGAGAATAGCTGCAGAAGCGAGTGCTTGAATAATTGTTCATGCATAGCCTATGGATATTATAGTGGTATTGGTTGTTTGCAATGGAGCGAAAACTTAATTGACATACAGAAATTCCCCTATGGTGGGGTGGATCTTTACATCCGTGTGGCATATTCAGAGCTTGGTAAGGTGTTGCATCTCCTTTTTTGATATTGTAATTTAAATAATCCTCTTATGCTTCTATTGTTTGTTTACTGGTTTATTTTAATCTTTTTCTTGGATGTGATCTATCAAAACAGTAACCATTGTACTATCTGAAATTCATGATCAATTTTTTAAGTCAATAATCCATTAATCCATTTTGACAGCATTAGCATAAATCTTTTTCTAATTTACCAAAGAAAAGAGCGGCGTCTATAATAAATTCTCAATTCTTTCTTTTATTTCAACTCCACTCCTTCAAATTTTGTTCTGTCTTACAGATATAAGAGAAACACACAAATAGCTATTACAATTGCAGTGATCATAGGGTCAGTAGCGACTGCTATCTGCATTTATCTTTCTTGGAGGTGGATGTCTAAGCCAAGAGGTATATTCCCATTACAATTAACTCTAGATAAATAAAATATTTTCTGTTAATAAATGATTGCATAACTAAATTCTGATTCAGGAAGGAAGAAAATTGAAGCCGGTCCAGAGCGTTCAAATGAAAGTGTGCTTGGAGATAAACTGAAGCAAGCTAAATTTGAAGATGATTGCAATAGACGAATTTCATGTGGCCAATAAACTTGGGCAGGGTGGTTTTGGTCCAGTGTATAAGGTAATATTTGTTCTTTTGGAGTAGAAGCTTTACTAACAATAAGAAAAATAAAAGTAATAATAATAATTTCACTTTTACCTTATTTTCAGGCGAAAATGCCAAGTGAAGAAGGAATAGCTGTTAAACGGCTTTCAAGATTGTTTGGACAAGGGCTGGAGGAGTTTATGAATGAGGTTTTGGTGATTTGTCAGCTCCAGCACCGTAATCTTGTTTGACTTATTGGATGTTGTATGGATGGAGAAGAAAATATGTTGATTTATGAATACATGCCAAATAAAAGCTTGGATGCATTTCTCTTTGGTCAGTTCATCCAAAGTGTGATCTTTTTGTCATCTTTAGTTGTTTTCTATTCATTGCTTCAGCATGGCTACTGCATAATAATAATATTTTGAAGAATACATAGATTTTCTCATTTAGTTTTTGGTTTTAGATCCAAGCAAAAAATAACTCTTGGATTAGAGAAAACGTGCCAGCATTATTGAAGGGACTGGTCAAGGCCTAGTTTACCTCCATAGGGATTCCAAATTAAATATTATTCATAGAGATTTAAAGACAAGTAACATTTTGTTGGACGAAGAGCTTAACCCAAAAATTTCAGATCGGCATGGCAAAGATTTGTGGAGGCAATGAAGACCAAGCCAACACTAGAAGGGTTGTGGGAACATAGTAAGCATCTATTACTTTGTCCAAATGCTTAATCATTTCTATTTTATAACTTTCTTTCTCACTGGATAGTTCAACTCAAATAATTTTTCTATTTGGGCTGAAATGATTCAATGTAGTGGCTATATGGCCCCAGAATATGCAATGGAAGGGAAATTCTCGAAAAAATCTGATATCTATAGCTTTGGAGTGCTTTTATTAAAGATTGCAAGTGCGCGAAGAAACACTAGTTTTTATCAGGATGAGCACTCTTTGAGCCTTCTTGGATTTGTAAGTCCATTTGGAACGCATTGGCCTTTGTTATTCATAGCTCCATCTAAACTTTCCAATGTCAGCATTTTATGGTTGTTTACTGTCTTCAGGCATGGAAACTATGGAATGAACATAGGATTGTAATGCTAATAGATCCGACAATATCTGATCCGTGCTTCCAAGTGGAGATCTTGAGATACATACACGTAGGGCTGCTATGTGTCCAAGAATTCGCGAGAGATAGGCCTACTATTTCCACCATTCTATCAATGCTCAGTAGTGATTTTGCAAATCTTCCAACTCCAAAGCAACCTGCATTTATTGAAAAACAGTTTCTCTTCAATATCGGGTCTTCTCAACATAGCCATAAGAGATGTTTTGCAAATAATGTCACTGTTACAATCATTGAAGGCCGTTAGTATTTATACTTTTAAGCTTATACTATTGTTTCATTCCTAATGTACATTGCAGTTGAATATTCTAAGTTTGTTTTGTTTTGTTTTCACATTGTTGTAATCAATATTTTTCGAAAGCCAGTGTTGGCCTTGATCACTCACATTGATGTATTTTGGGAGAAAATCTGTTTCATATAAAGAAGCAGCTAGCAAATTTTTAGTAACAAGTGACTAATGTTTTTTTAAATTTTCAGTAACGAAGTGACAACGTTTTTTTTTTTTTTTTTTTTTGTCTATAACATCATTAATCAATCCAGAATCTCATACTTTGTTTTATTTTGTTTCAAGAAATTTTAATGTGGCAGAGCACCTATTTTTCAAATTACTTTAGTCTTATTGCCAAGACTAGTCTTACATAAAATTTCTTAGTCACCAAGACTTCTCTTATAAGAAATTACTATATAAAATAAATCATAAATAGAAACAAAATTTTAACAACAAATCCTAACAATCTCTCCATTACAAAGGGTAGTTAGTAGTTAGTGTGCGTTGCTTAACTTTTAAAAAATAAAAAAATAAATAAAATAAATAAATAAAAGAAAAAAAAAAAATCTAATCTAAGGCTTCAACTACTTCAACAAATAGATTTGACTATGATTTAGTCTAACCTACCCCTAACCAAATAATAATAATAAATAAATAAACTATTGTAATACGCATTTGTGACATGGAGAAACATGGGGAAAGAGCATGCCACGGAGCCAAGGAGGCCCGCCTGTACTAAATTTTATTCATTTATGTTATAGTCCTAAGCTTTTATCAAATTTCAAATAAGAGGAGTGTTAAGGACAGTCCTTAGGACCTTAAGCGACTGTCTCCTTTCACGTTCCCTCAGTTCCTCTTCTTATTGGCTATTTTAATTTCATTAAATCTTTATTTCATATTTTTAAGAAACACTAAAAACATAATTTTTTAAAGACAAAACTACCCTTTTTTCCCTCTCCTTTTGTCGTTTATATATGTGTGTGTCTATATATCACTTACCAAATTATGATTTACCCATCTGAATTTTTTTTTTTTTTTTTTTTTACAAGGTAAGAAGTGTTATAAGTTAAATTAGTAGATGTAGAGAGTTGAAACCTGGCACTCCAAAATCCATCGAAACCACTAACCCATATCTATCTAACTTAGATTTTTTTTCTACAATTTTACTCTAACTACAACTCAGTTTTATAATTTTACTTTAATTAAAATTTCACATACATAACGCGTGTGTGTGTGTGTGTGAATCTCGCTATATAAAAAATGAGCAAAAAAAACCTCTTCGAAAAAAGTGCATATAACCTATATTATCCACCTTTTGAGCAAATTGCCCACTAATTATAAAATTTGACAAAAATTTAAAAAAAAAAAAAAATTTCTAAAATGCCCTCCCAACAAGAATTTTATTTTATTTTGTTTTTCTATCATTTCTCTCTTCAAATCTAGTGACAGCAAATTCAGCTTCCATTAAAAACGACGAGTTCTTGCTCTCCGATGTACTCCTTAAATGACCTCAACGCTTCCCAGCGAAACCCAGTTCGGTTTCTTAAGTTTGAATGCTTCGTTCGGTATGAAGGAAGAAAATTAGATGGAAGGGAGAGAAGAAGGGATGAATGAAACATTGTAAGGACCATACCTTTTTATTTTCTTTTTCATTTTTATTTATTGCATTATCATTTTTGGGTCGCGTGACCCCCTGTAGGGTCAAGTGCTCGGGAATAGCTTCCGACACTTCATTTGTTCCATTGGGGCATGTTTTAATCTTCATAACATTGTGGGGTTTATGATGAGCGCTGAAAAGTGCGCATTTAAACTCCTTAAGCTTGAGTATTATAGGACCTTTATCTATCTTATTTCCCCGTTTTATTCTAATTTCATGTTATTGCCCTTTTCAAGTGCTTATCCCAAAAATAAGTCAATTCAGCCAAATAAGAGCATTAAAGAAGTTAACTCAAGCTGAATGAAAGAAATGAGCAAAGTGGAAGCTAAATGAAGCAAACTGTGGAAATTCAGCATGTTCGATCGATCTCAGCATTTCTTCGATCGATCGAAAATTCATCGACTTAAACAATTCAAGATGGATCCAAGCCTTTGTCCTTATCTAAAAGAATCCAATAAGGTCGAGGGATCCAACATTTTCTAGATAGATCGAAATGATTCGATCTTATCCACACCTACCACCTATCTACCACTTTTGTCTTCTTCCTAAAAATATCCCAAAATATCCTAAAATATCTTAGAGATTTGTCTTTATTCAAAAAGGTGCCGCCAAGGATGATCGATCTCTGTAGCATTCGATAGATCTCAGCCAAGTTTGATCGATCTCAGCACAGTTCGATCGATCGAACCTCATCAAGTCTGAAAAAAAAAAAAAAAGATTCCAGCTCATTAAAAGTTAGCTTATGGTGCAATCATTAGAGGGACCTTGGTGTACGAGCCCAGACCATTGGGTGTGACACTTGACCTACCTATATAAGGATTGAGAGCCACTTTTAGAGCATAGTTGTTATTCATAACTTGTAACATTCAACATAACTTGTAATTTCTTATCTTGGAGAGGAGGCTAGAAATTAGCGAGCTTTACACATTTTGGGAGTTCTTCAATTCTTCTAGGGTTTCCATCAAGAATGGGGATAAAACTACTATGGAGATAGCCCTTGAGGATTGGATGACTACTTCAATGAGTGGCTAGACATCTACTTGGGGCTAGAGTAGCCCCTAAGTTTGCTTCCTAGACTTAGTTCTTTGTATATTTTTGGGGATTTATTTGTAACAATGTTTTGATCTTGGATTTATATATATATCTTGTGGTTTCTACTTGATATGTATGGATTAATGCTTTTAATTGATTATCTATTTCTAATCATATGTCTATGTATTCTAGAATGGATGATTCATGTGCTTTTCTATAGATTTAGTAGAGTGTACGCATGTCTATGTGTATGGATGAAGTTAATCTAGAGATGGTCAAAACATAGAGCTTAGTTGAATACTCTTACAATTTATTTGATGGTTCACACTTGTTTCTTGATGGATTGTACCACACCCTTAGCTTACTTAGTTTAATTTCATGTCTTTAGTGTAGATGTAGTGTAGTTCCTTTAAATTCATAGATAGGTGGATAATCTACACTTGTTCCTTGGTGTTCCATACTTATGAATGCATTAGATGTATGTTTCTAGATAGTTGTGTGCGCATAAATTATGATTTTATTGAATGGATTTTGGTCTCATTTGATAGGTTGTACTTTTCATTTGATTTGCCTTGACAATCTATGTATATTTGTCATCCATGCCTAGTTTCAATTAATGTCACACACACACACACACACACACAAGTTACAAGTCAATTTCCTCATTAATATACTATTGCTAGTGTCTAGTGAAGTCAAGCTTAGTGGTGAGCTCTAGTACCCCAAGTCATCCCTTCTATATCTTTCTCTACTTTATTAATCATTGAATTTTGTTTACTTTAATTTCATTTGCATAATAGCTTAATCAATCAATCCAACCAATCTTTGATCACTCGACCTACTAACCCTATATATTGCTTCCATTGCTAGTGCACGCCTATAATCCCTTGGGACGATCCCTACTCAACTTAGCTATATTTTTAGTTAGAGGTAGTAGTGGCTTTTATAAATTTAAAACTTGACCACATTACACACTCACACTCTTAGTGCAACATCTTTTCAAGCGTTGGTGATTGACAACACCAAGTTTTTGGCGCCGTTGCTGGGGATTTGAATTGGTAACGTCGTGCTTTGGAAACAAATAGGAATTAGTACTCTTTTGATCGTGTCTTTGCTTTATTTTTATTTTTGATTACTTATTGTGTTGGTTCTTATTTGACTAGGTACATTGGGCCAAGGAAAGTGAGCAAGGGAGCATTCTAAGCAAGGAGCTAAGCAAAAGAAAGGAAAAAGCTAAAAAAATCTAAAAATTGCAAAGCTAAAGTTGAAAAATAATTTGAAATGCTTAAGGACCCTTTGTGAGCTTTTCCTAAACTCAATCTTTAGATAAATCGTCGGCCCACGTGAAGGCTTGTTTTTCATTTCTAGATAAATCGTGAGCCTGCGTGGAGACAATTTTACTTTTCTTTGCATATTGTTCAAGCATGGGAGTATGTGATCATTGTATGTGAAGATTTGTTGATTTGTTGTGGGGGCGAAGTGTTTGTTACTTGCTTATTTCTTGTTATTTGCTTAACTAGTGTATGCATGGTCGTAGGTCATTGAATCCTACTCTTGTCCCTCCTAATTTGTATCTTGAATCGGTTGTTCATAACCCTAGGGGAAGAGGTAGTTCTCGTCACTCCATTTCACCAATGGAAGATTTGAATAACGACCATGTGGAGGACCTTGGTCACATAGACCAATAAGGCATCCTCCACCCTAATGTGCATCATGACAACATTCAAGTACCATTAGGCATGCCTAGACCATTTATCCCACCATAACAACAAGGCCAAGTTTCATTGGGAATACCTAAACCAATGTATGCTCCACAACCTCCCATAATCCAAAACAATCAAGGTGCTCATGTAGCACCACCGGTTGTAAATCCCCCTCTTGCTTTAAGAGACCATTATGTGCCTAATGAATATAATACACCCACTTGCATTCAACTGACTCTATTTAGAGCACATCACTATGAAATCAGACCACAAACCATTCAAATGCTTCCCAACTATCATGGACTTCTAAGCCTATAAGCATTTGGATGAGTTTCTTGAAGTGTATTCCACCGTGAAATACACGGACATGCCAGAAGAGGTTTTAAGACTTAAACTTTTTCCTTTCACCCTTAAAGACAAGACAAAATATTGGTTCAACAAACATAGGCCTTTTTTAATAACTTCTTGGGCAGAAATGCAACAAGAGTTCTTAAAGAAGTATTACCCGGTATCAAAGACCAATGCCTTGAGAACTTCCATTCGTGAATTTTCTCAAGGGCATGGGGAAATATTTCATGAGGCATGGG